TTTTAACAGTTTGGAAGCAAATTTACATGGGCAACATTTGCAGCAACAGGTAACAAAGTACTTCCTCAAGGTCAAGACTTAAGTGTTTTCCTGGAAACACGATGTTTCTGTGTGATTACACTAAAGCAGCAAAACTCAGCTAAATCGTTAGGTATAGTATAAATGAGACTTAATGAAAATATTATGGTGCATCTGAAAGGCCTTGACTAGTGGCTACACTAATACTGGTTAATACTATAAGTTTTAAAAACTACTGAAGATATTTTAAGTACCGTTGCTGTATATGTCATATTTGTAGCTAGTCCTCCAAAGCTACATTTAAATTTGATGGCAAATTACTCACAACTTCACAGCATGTTTAATATACCGCACTTGATTTGGATTTATGACATTTTTTAACAGGTAACATCAGATAGTGTATCTGACTTATTAACGGACTTCATGAAGATACTCTAATTGTCTGTTCTGTGTGTTTATGCTGGATCTCAAAGAAAATTCCTGTGATGAGATAACGCGGTTAATGAATGACCATGACTTTCAGCAGTGACTAGTGTTTTAGGTGACCAGTCTGGCACTAGTATATTTGCTGAGCATCCCTCTGCTGCTGGGCATTAAAGAATAACCCTCAGTCATACACGGGGTCGGCTGTTTATTCTTCTACATATACTCTTTATGGTTGTTTTTAATTTCTTTTTAGTCATTTTGCTTTGTGGTAATTTTTTGTTTATGTACTACTTGGTTTTTTTTGTATATTTTGCATGTCTTTGTCCTCATTTTGCATCTCTGTGTATGTTTTGAAATAATTTCCACTCATTTACTTCTATTTGTTGCTGAATGATATCTCTTTATACAGATGCTCTGGCCTGGGGCCCCCTGTCTCCTTGGGCCCCCAGCATGCCAGCTCAGTAGGCTCATCATTCACGTAGCTATCTGTAACAAACTGTGCCTTCCACTGTCAAAAAGGTTGCATTCGTTTGAAATTAGTTATAAATAATACGTTGCATTAATGTCTATTCAGCCACCCTCCTGTGTCTGTGTCTCTGTGTGTGCACATACCGGGGGTCATGCCAACATGGGAGGGACCGGGCCGTCAAGTGGACAGCTCTCGAGCCCTCCCTCCCACCGCGCGCCACTCCAAACCGGGAGCCGCGCTTGAGGATGATGCCAACCAGAGATAGACAGGCTGTCGAGGGAGGGAGAAAACCTGCACAGTGACACAACTAGAGTATCGAGGAGGTGTCTGATGAGTGAGAGTAAAACTGGGAGAGTTACAGAACAAAGGACAAATAAAGAATAGAGAGGAACGGGGAAACAGCCCGAAGCTGCTGACTGGGTCCCGTTTGCCCGCGCCGATGCCAGTTGAAGACAGTCTACCGAGGCAGAGCACACGGGGACGGCCACTGAAGTGAAAAGCTGCGTGGAACGAACACAGCTGGAGCTTTTGTCGGTGACTGAGAGTGAGTTCATTTTTTCAACTTCGAACACAAGATAATGTTTGAAATATCCCACGTTTAATAATCTGCGAGGGTCAGTGTCTGCTCTACTTGTCTGTTTATTTTTTCTTTCTTACTGCGACATTAGCCCATCGCTGGTGCCAATTAGTCACAGGACGCACCACGGGCGCGCGCTCACACATAAACTGACAGCTCGTGCGTAGGAACGACCAAAGCGGATTCATCTCGCGTGGCAGAACCGGGCAGATGTTGGCACGCGGAGGCTTCGAACATCAGCTTCAAACATTGTACAAATTATTCAAAGTCACGTAGTTACACCAGCGGCAATAGATAGATAGATAGATAGATAGATAGATAGATAGATAGATAGATAGATAGATTAATCCATTATATATACCTGTTGGCTGACAATATTTCTTCTTCTCTGGCCTATATTAGCGCATGCTGTCAACACAAAACCAGATTAGAATGTCCAAATATATTTTACTGACATAGCCTACCTTATTTAATACCAGTGAGTTGTGTGTGCTTTATTCGGTCAGTGTGTGTTCCCTCCTGTCAGTTTCCCCAGTGACAGCCACAGCATCTGATCTAGTGGTTAATAGCTTTAATTTTCATTGCTCAGTGTTGATACTTTGTACAGCTTACCTCTGGCTTTAAAAAGCAAATCTGTCCATGATATAAGCACATTGGCCAGCTTGCCATCTGGGCTGTATTATAGTAGAGAGGAGAGGGCATTTGAATAATTGATATTTATCTATTTATAGGAGGATTATTCTTTTCATGCAGCACCAGGGGACCTATGCACTGATCTATCTATCTATCTATCTATCTATCTATCTATCTATCTAATAATGTTTTATGGCATCCAGTGACAATCAAGTATCTTAAATGGCCTAAAATAATCTCTGTGTGTGTTCACAGTTTTGTACTTTTATCTACTGTACCTCTCTCAATCTGTCCTTACATCTGTCTATTTATCATCCATCTATCTTTCTGTTTGGTGAGCGGTAGTGTATCCATCTGAAGTGGATTAGGGGTGTTATCAAGGCTAAGTAGGACTACTGTTAACACACACAGTCTCACATATGCACACACACAAAGGCTCATACATACATGCTGTGCTCACTCTCTTTCATTCCCCAAGGACCATTGACTATTGTTAGCCCTCTCTCAAGCAACTTTTGCTTCTGTGTGAATGTGTATATGTGTGTGTGTGTGTGTGTATCCTTGTGTGTTTGATGGTAAACACTCTGATCAAACAGTGCTTAACAAGCTGCCTGAACTGATAACAGAGAGAGGAGAGGAAGAGAGGATGGGAAAGGAAGGAAAAGGGGGAAAGGGGTGTTGGGAGGGAGAGGAGGTTACAGACTGGGAAAAAATGTACGCTCTTGATTAAATAGTGAAAATACTGTTATTTGTAACCCAGTGTTCTCTAGTCTTCATTTTACAAGCATTTATTTTATGGAAGCCAAGTATAAGTGCCATTGAAAAGTTTAGACATTCCCTTTTATTCAATGGGTATTTTCTGCATTGTAGAGAAGACATCAAAACTATTACAAAATACACCTCTAGGCAATGTAAGGGCTATTTGACGAAGAAGGAGAATGATTGAGTTCTGCATCAGATGACCTGGCCTCCACAGTGACCCAACCTAAACCCAACTGAGATGCATGAGTTGGACTGCAGAGTGAAGGAAAAGCAGGGAACAAGTGCTCGGCATATATGGGAAACTCTTTCAAGACTGTTGCAAAACCGCTCTGGGTGACGTCCTCATGAAGCCAAGAGGGTGCAAACAAAAACGGACCTCCATTTTGTTGCTGCTGTTGCTTTCTTAGACAGCACACTGTTGAGAGAATCTGGAAATATAACATGAAGTGACAAAGATCATTAGCCAGATGTTAGACTACTATACCACAGCCTGACCCCCAGTCTGTTGGCCTGCATTGACAGCCTCTCGCTATTTCCTTCTATGACATGTTTGAAGACAATGGAGAAGTATATCAACATTTAAACTTACTCTAACATATGCCTAAACTCTTATGCTTATATTTTTGAGCTATTATTATTATTAAGGTGGGAGTAGCTGTGTTTTGCTGTCTAGGTAAAAACGCATGTGCCAGTCACATTCTGATGTCACTTTAATTTGTCAGCATCGTTTTGTCACAAATTTTTTCTCATAGTAACTTTTTAAAAAAACAGATTTTAAGATATCCATCATTGAGATTTTTGCCTTTTCTCTAATACAGGGGATGTAAATGAAAAGACATTGTCAATGACATTGCACAAAAAAAAAATAAATGCAGCATCACTGATTCCTTTTTTGTTGGATAATCCAGAGAATATCATATGTTTTCATAAGAACAGCAAATGACAGCAGAATGAAAGCTTTCTGCATGATTAGATGGACCTTGAGGTACAAACAGGTATACATCTCTTTTTGTAATTTGGGTGAATTTACCCTTGATGTGTACTTACATGTAGGAAGGAACCTTGAACAGAGGTGTACCAATAAAAATGTATTGTTACATGCAATCGGAAACACAAACTTCAGCAACAGTGGTCACTGTTCTCTCTCTCTCTTCCTTTCTAGTGATGGATTCACCCACAGATCTTTTCGATGACTCCTCTCCCCAGATACATGCCTTTGTTCCTCCTCTAAGTTCTACAGAGCTACCTGGAGTTCATTCTCAGCCCAGTGCAGGCCGCCCACTTCCTGCCTTTAGACCTCCTGGCTTCTCTCTAATCCACCACCTCCTCCAGCCAGGTGGAGCCCCCAGGAGGATTGGAGGACAACTCGACACAATCCTGGGCACACACAGGCACTTGGAAGACAGACATTTGGAAGAAGATGCAGGAGAGAGGGGTGGACAGGTGGAGCAAGGGATGGAAAGAGGAAAGGAGGGAGTCATGGAGGGAGAGGACAGTGTGCTGGGGGTTAAACAGAGACACAGTGACACCACCCTTGCAGCAGAATGGAGTCAGGATGTCTTGAAAATGAAGAGGATGAAGCTGGAGAGCCGACAGAGAGATAGAGAGGCCGATGGGAGAGGCAGAAGGTGCGAGGGAGGGAAGGAGGGTAGAAAACGTGAGAGGGAGGAGTTGAAAGAACAGCTGGAGGAGGCAAGAGAGAGACTGCAGGCCCTGCAGGAGAAGGTATGGAGGGCTTTTGGGGAAAAGCACATGGCAGAGGAGAAGGAAAAAAGTAGGTGCAGGAATAAAGACAGAGGAGCAGCAGATGGAGGAGAAGATGTGGGAATCACAGAAGAGGAGGACCTCACAGAAGAAATGTATGACGAAGAGGATAATGGAGATATGGAAAAGGAATCTTTTCCCCTTCTTTCTGCTTCCGCTTTTGATAACTTCCACAAGCGGAAGCAAAAAGAGAGAGAAGTGAGGATGGAGAGAGGAAGAGGAGGAGGAATGCACTTAGAGGGCATGATGGAGGGAGCAGACTTGTGGTTGGATTGTGGGGACCTGGTAAGAGGCAATTGGGATGGAGGGACAGAAGATGAGGGTGAAGAGGAAGGGCAAAAGTTTGCTCAGGCGCTGAAGCTTGAGCTGGGCAGTGCTGTGGCCCGAGTCATTGACCGAGTTCTCCACCTTTACACCGAAACAACAGATTTCACTCCTTCCTCTCCTCCTGCCGCTATTTCTTTTCTCCCATCTGATCTAGGAAGCGAGGGACGGAGGGAGAGAGGATTATGGATGGGACTGCTAACAAGAGGAAAAGGGGAGGAAAAGATGAGAGATAAGGAGGAAAAGATAGCAGTGCAGGATGGGGAAAGAGAGAAGCAGCTCCAAAAGAGCAACGGGAGCACTGGGCCTCCTGGACAGCCGCATCACACTGAACTATCAGATCTGACGCTGCCATTGGCTGTTCAAAGATCACCTGACACACGAAAGGTCCACCCACTCCTTGGCCCACCTCTTTCTACTCAGCTCACTCCCACTCACCCAAACCTCTCCCTGCATCACCCGTCTCTAACTCGCCCTCCCCCTCTTTCTCACCCTCTCTTACCTCCATCTTCACAACCCAAGGACTCCTCTGCCTCTTTCCAGCTGTCTTCATCCTCCTCCTCGTCTTCCTCGTCTTCCTTCCCTGCACCTCCTCCTCCTCCCCCTCCTCCCCCTCTCCCTCTCCCCCTGCTGCACTACTCTATGCAGCAGCTCTTCTCCCGTTCACTTCACCACCCCCAGCTCCCCCACCTCCCCCCGTCCCGCAAGGACTATTTGAATGCCGACCCTTTCCTGGACTTCTCCTCTCACCCCTCAACTCACCCCTCCTTCCCCTCACTCCCCTTGCTTGGTCACCTGGACCCTTCCCTTGCTCGCCATGTCCATGGAGGCAGAGAGAGGGAGAGAGGGATGCGGGGAGATGGAGGGATGAGAGGAGGGGGAGGGATGGATGGAGGAGAGTTGTACCTGACAGCTGGGGGAATATCCTTTTGTCAGCATGGTGGAAGGAGAGAGGGGGTGAGGTGTTTGTGTTTATGTACCTGTGTTAAAACGGCGTCTATCTCCTTAACTGGCCTCATGTATACACCCAGGAGGGCTTATCTCCCTGTCATCTGAAGAAAGCCAAGCTCATGTTCTTCTACACCCGTTATCCCAGCTCCAACACACTGAAGACCTACTTCCCTGATGTCAAGGTGTGTGTACCCTATCGCCATGCTGGATCAAGGCTTTGTCTGCAATCGAGCAGCATTTAATTCACAGCCAAGTTTTGTTCTTACTATTACAAAAAGCTAGTCATGCACAGTCAGACAGTGTTTTCTGAACAGTATATAATAAAAGATAACAGTAACTGCCAGACTGGAATGTTGTAAGTACATTTTTAAAAAGTTGCCAGAGACTCGCTAAATATCCTTCTAAACCAGTGTGAAGATATAATAGGAGAAAAAAGCAAAACATTGGTGCACAATATTTATTTTTGTGTCCACAACCAAAGAATGAATGAAGAAATGTTCCAACTCTGCAAGCTCATCCCCAGTTAATCACTTTTCAGTGTCTTTAATTAGGAAAGTCAGTAAACACTTATCCTGATGGAGTTGGGGAAGCTGCCAAATAAATAAAGTGGAGTAACAGCTACAGCATTTCTCTCTAAAATATTATGATTAATTTAACATAACATTTAAATATTCAAGGAAAGCAGTAAGTACCTTAGAATTATAATTTAGGTACAGTACTCACATAAGTTGACAGTTATTTTCTCTCACTGCAAGTGATAATCAGAGAAGTTGTGCTTTTGTTTGTCAGTGGTCATATGTGATCTACTGGTTATTTATACAATCCAGTCATCTGTGCATTTCTGATTGAGAAAACCTCAACAGTGGCCCATGTGGGAATTAAACCCACGATCTTGGCGTTATTAGTACCGCACTGTAACCAGTTGAGCTAACTGGCCACAGTTGATGGCAGATGTTTGTGGAATCATTTTGATGACTGGTTAACGATACAGATAGCCACCAATGTGGGAAATTGCTTGTTTCTAAAGACGTGTGAGCAAATGGACCATAATGTGTTTTGTGTAATATTTTATTCATGGCAGTGTACGCACCAAAATCATAGTGGCCCCATTGGGGATCAAATCTGTAATTTTGTGGTGCTATTAGCACCACACTCTAATCAGCTGAGCTAACTGGTCATGTTTTTCATGATGTCATCAGTAATAGGCACCCCTGTCTTCCTGTCCTCACCGGCTTACCTCTTCCCCTGGTTTTTTCCTCTGTGCACTGTCTAGTTTAACCGCTGTGTGACCTCCCAGATGATTAAATGGTTCAGTAACTTCAGGGAGTTCTTCTATATCCAGATGGAGCGCTTCGCACGACAGGCTGTCCGTGAGGCTCTCACCCGGTTGGTTTGGCTCATGTTATACTCATGTGATGCAAAACATCCAGTGTTTGACTGTGTTAATGAGGGCTAGCATGTTGGCACAGAAATTCTACATTAGTTGACATTCATGCTGATTTATGTATCTGACGTCAAGCATATAGAGCCCTGCATATTGTGTAATTTGCAGAATTGCAAAATGACAAATTTTTGTGGTATCATGCTCTAAACTTTGCTGTTTTATGCAACAGTGTGCAGCCTCATGGGTTCCTCCTGCACACTCATGCAGTTCTGCTGTAATCAAATAAGCAACTTGCAGCTCAACAGTTCATATTCTCCATTTTATCTGATGTAGTTTACAAATGGCCTAAAATTTGGAATAGTTGAGAATAATGTCACAAAATGATGAAAGATATTTTTTATATAAATTACATATTTCCCTGCAATTAGACCTGTTACTCATTTAAAATTTTTATTGTAATGTTTTGATTTTTCAAAATAATTCAATTTTTTAAACTTATTTTTCATCCTAAATAAAAAATATTTATTACTTAATTTTTAATTTAATACTACTATTATTGCGGATACTGCAATATTTATTACTTAATTTATTATTTAATACTACTATTATTGCGGATACTGCATTAGCTGTAAAACATGAATATGTATGTAAATGCCATTAATAATTCAACTCAAAGGTTCAGAAATAGTCTCAATGCATGAAACTGTGCAATCTCAAGACTGTTGACGTAACTATTCCTAAAGTTTTTAGTGGACATCTTGCAGGGCTCAAATAAATTCACCTAGATTGTCAACAAATATATATCACTTAATAAAAAAATACCACAAACAAATACTGTAAATGTGGCCTGTTGCAATAGTTGAATTGACGTTGATGTGTTTGTCTGTGTAACACAGTGATGGTGCATCTCGCCTGGGCAGAGAGAATCAGCTGAGAGTGGGACGTGACACAGAGCTTTATCGCATACTGAACATGCACTACAATAAAAGTAACATATACCAGGTAAGGAGTGTGTGTCAGTGTGCACCGTGTCTGTTTGGCACTCTAGCTATAGCTTTCAGTTTGCACATTGTATAGCTGTATGGAGGCTGTGGGTGCTTCAGTCCTTATAGAGCTATCAGTGCAGTGAAAGCATGATGTTTGGTACCTTGGCTTCAAGCTTTCTTTAACTGCAGCGTGCTCATCAGCACCTTTTAGTAAACACAATCGTACCCAAGGTTAGTGGTAGCTCTAGTGAACTGTGGTTGAACACGTCATGAGTTTTCAAGCTGTTTGTGCAGTGGCTCTTACAGAAGTATAGTGGCCCATATGGGATCATAACTTGGCATTATTAGCACCTCACTAAGCAAATGAGTTGATTGGCCACACACCCAATGGTAAATCATTATTTACTTGTTGGCAAAAAGTGTCTCGCTAATCAGCCTGACAAGTTTGTCTAAAGAGAAAATATGTGAAGCCCATTTCCAAGTGTAACCATCATTTTAAAGAGTGAATCCGGTAGGTCTACAAGTATTTTATCCTTTGACATTGGGATTTCTGTCTGCAGGTCCCAGAGAGATTCATTGAGGTGTCTGAGGTGGCTCTGAGGGAGTTTTACTCAGCCATTTGGACCGGAAGAGACAACGACCCCTGCTGGAAGAAAGGAATTTACAAAATTGTCTGTAAGCTTGACAGCCCTGTACCAGACGCCTTCAGACTGCCTGGCTGCCCTGTTGGCTGATGATTGAACCGCTTTCATCTGGTACATGTGCACAAATGCATGCACAAACACACACTTGCTGAAAGAAGGAAAATTAATAAAAGCATTCGCAAAATATTTCAAAACATGAGAAATGACATGAAGAATTCCATTCAGTATACATTTTAGTTCATTCATAATTCATTCACTTAAAAAAAAGATTATTTAAGGGTTTACTTACTTATTTACTTGACATGGTGTGCAGGAACGGACACATACACACATGAACGGACTGACACACTCAGTGCTGTGATAAGAGTCTTGTGACTCCACTTATCAAAGAATGTGACATACCATTGTATTACTAATGGAGAGGAGATCCCTCTGCAGACATTCGTCACTTAATCAGCTGACCTGTGAAATCACAGTGCTGCTACACACGTTAGATAAATCTTTAGCCACACAGCTGGAATGGACTGATTTAACAACGCTGCTGTGTGTGGTGCTACTGCTACTCCACGATTTCAGGTGTGTTGTTTAAATTAGAGAGCATCATGCGCTGGCCACACAACACTCCTTCACATGGAAATATAATATATAGACAATTCTAGGCCTCTATTCTGTAATCAAATGCGCTGCTGACAATGGCTTACTGAGCATGGGTACTAAATAAAAACACTTTTCAAGTACTTTGAGACAAAGAGTGTCACATTAGGTGATTGACCCTGTTTCTTCCATCATCACTTTCACTTTGAGCAGAGAGCAGTGTTCAGACTGAAAATTCTATGTTCATGTTAAGAAAAAGTAGAAATATTGCTGTGTAATCATTAACAACCTTGTATAAACAATCCCAACTAAATTGTCAGGGCTGCTCTCCGTCAGGGGTGTTCACAATTTTATTGGAGCCTTGTCAAAACATCAAGTGTGACTTTTGTTTTCTAGAATTGACCTCTTATTCTTGCCTTGTGTGTGGCTCCTCTGGAGATTCAGAACAGCCACTGGCATTCAGCATGCCCCACAGCGTCTACCTTTTACATATGTACATTTTTCCATGGCTGTGAGGAGGCTTTCTTTTTCTCCGACAACATGAGGCTGTCATGTTTGTATTCAAAATGGGTTTTGTATCCATTTTAGAAATTGGACATGAAAATCTTTGTAATTAATGTTGCATAATATAATGGTTAATTTGCTTAATTATAAGATTTTTTTAAGTTAACATTACCCGTGTTTCATAGAACTGTCAGATCAGTGAATTTCTTTTGCTTGTGTATTCATCTCTCTGTTTAATTGCTATAAAGATTTTGTACATGATGACACAATGTAATCAAACTGTAATTAAAATTCTGTCAAGAGGGACAATATATTGAATTTAAAATGGTAAAATTAATGTTTTGTTTTTCCTTGATGTCCTATTGTTGAAATGCTTACTTAGTATGTTTTTGTAAACCTTTACATTAACTATATCAGCATTTGTTTCCCAAAGGTATTGAGGAGACTTTCACTCTGTCTACTGTATGTCATGACTCTTTTATCCAGAAGAAACATGAAAACGTTGGTTCACTGCTGCAGATAAAGGTGTCCTCTGACTTCATCACAACTCCATGAGACTGAGCCCACATTTAAAGTATTTGTGACGTGTTTTCAAGTGCATTTTCCCTATATTTACATTTTGTATTGTAATCTCTTGTGTTTCTTTTATTGCTGTTAATGGTATCTCTTTTAAGACTGTACATATTGTATTCTTTACTGTAGATCTGTGCCTCATTCATACTTTGGTGAATTTTGATGTTTAAACCTATCAGTGAATTAAAGTGATACTAGGCTTGTGTTGTGGTGTCTGGATTCACACATACTGTACATACAGTACATAAATACACAAGCTCTCTGGCCTCCGGCTCCTAATGCCATCATACATTAAGCCTTTAATCTAACAACACTACCAGAGAAGCACACACACACACACATTCTCACTGACACTAATACTTGGATGATAGCATGGTAAGAGGCTCGGCCTGGGACTAAACCTAATCACCTGAGACAGCATGTGCACCCACACAGGGACTCTCTGGTATGCTAACAATGTATCCAAAACACGCGAGCTCCTGTTTTGTGGCTAACAGGCTAAAGAATGCGTCTTGTCACAGTAGAGATACATGTTTAGTGTATGCTCGCCATATTAGCTGCATTCCAGTTACACAAAAGTCCATTTCACACCCATGCATTTGATTAGCCTCTATACGTAGAACTGGAACTGCAGCTAATTTGAAGGCATTTTGAAACAAATATGGCCTAAATGTGAATTAACATTAATTCATGATCTGTTAAGTATGAACTAATTACTGAAAGCCACAATGACCTTAATATTTGTTAATGGTGAGTGATGTTAATTCATTATATATCTTGCAAAGAAAAATAATAAAATCATAATGAGTCACCTAGTTAAATATTCCCTAAGTAGCCTATATGTTTTGTAACCTTATTATAAAATTTCCCCAGAAATGACATCATCAGACTTAAATACTGATGAAAATATTGTAATGGCTATGTACAATATATAGTCATATGATATAAATTGCAAGGGGATAAAGGATCCTGTGAATGAAGTGCAGATTACAGTTATCAAACACACACACACATACACACACACACACAGCAAACCCCTCTATAGCTCAACTACTAGTCTACTTTAGTGCTGCTGCATAGGGGGCAACACGCACATACACGTTGTAGCCTATACTTTGAATGCTGTCATATGAATATTTGATAACTTATGAAGATAAAAAAATCTACACAGTCTAGTTCTGATGTGGAGATGCAGTGTTACATTGGAAGATTTTCATAACTATAAGCGGGAAGGAAGCTGACACACACCGCTTGTTTCGGGGCAGTTTGACTGACTGAGAACTGAATGAAGCTGGCAAAAATAACCAAACCATCACCGGAAATGAGATATTGTTCGCTTAAAAATGTAAACGTGCCACTGGACTGACTGCATCAAGGATAGATAGAAAATATGGCAAGGTGTAAGGGCGTTTTGTTTTCTATAATAAAAACATTTAGAAGATTTTGTACTGATTTATTCTGTTGCACACTGACTGACCTTGTTTTTGCTTCGGATGTTTCGTTATTTTGACCTTACAACAAATCACTCAATGTTGTGTGCAGTTCGTCTAGGATTTTATTGTGAAGCGCTTTACCGGAAGCGTCTTATCTCACTGTGTGTGTTTGTCCGCCGATCTCCTTCCAGACAGGGAGTGGAGCGCTTGGACGATGGCGGTACCGGGGCTGCTGCTGCACTTGGGTCTGTACATCAGCAGCTTCGTCTGTGGGATTGTTGCCGCCGCGTCTGTCACCATCGTCCAGGTGACTTTTTCACTGAACTAAATCACTTGCCAAAATCATATGCGTCTGTTGTTCCCATCTTCTTCCGGGTAGACTCTATTTAAGTGATGTCGATGCTAAAAGTTTTTCAAATGCACCTAAGGCGAAAATAAAACGACAAATAACCCTGGACGTTTGACTGTCCCACTTTTTGGAGGCTATACAACTGGATTTTCTTCTGTATTAGTTCGTTTGATAAAGTGAACGCTGTAGCGGCAACAACGTACCAAAACTAAGTTTTAAAGTTTCTTTGCACTTTCCTACATCCAAAACTGTTTGTATATAGCAGCATTTTTTTTTATTTTACCAGAAACTGTCAAAAACCAGAGCGTGGGGGCCATAAAGAGACGCTCTTTCACTTTTCACTGTTTTATCATAGTAGGGGAACTACGTTTTCCCTCTCGGTCGCACTGATAGCGACACGGTTGGCTGCTGTCACCGGACGCTCATCCCACTTTATTCAGTTAGCTGCGCTCATTTTACGGTACTAGGTAAAGACGCTGATAAGTAACAGCTATTTAACATGGCTTTCTTTTTACTAACTAAAATATGTGAGCGTGTCAAAATGCGCCAGTAGCAGAGTCGTATCCAGGTTCGGGCACTTTCCCCATCATGTGACCAGACGGTCCTCGTGCTCAGTTGTAGTCCCCGCCCCCTTGGGGGAGTCAGGTGGTACATTGGTGTGGACACATTTTAGTACAGTACAGTCGCTTTGAGGACATTTTGGCCTGTCGTCACCTTTCAGAAGCACTGTGAAGGGTTTAGACGTGGTTTTAGGGTTCAGGTTAGAATTAGGTTAAGGTTAGGATCATGATATGGGGCTACATGCATTATGTCAATGAGTGTTTTCACAACCAGACGTGTGTGTGTGTGCGTTTGTTCTTAGTAGGTTGTTAATAGTTTTGTGAAAATAATAATGTGACAAAAAAGTTATTGAAACAATATAATAATATTAAGACAAAACTAAATAAAAATAAGTTGGAATTCCAAATGTCTCTGCCCTCGTTTCTTTCAGGGTCACTTTGGAAGTCTGTGTATGCTGTATGGACACGTCAGCTACAATGCAACAGGAGGCCTTATTGGTGTCCAGTCGTCCAGCTCCCCGTCTATGTGTTATTTTGTGTCGGCCATATCAATCATTGTGGCAGTGGTGTGTTTCTCACAGACTGTGTCCTGGGTGTATGCTATGTGCTCTGACGGGGATGTCAAAAGGTGATGAACTGTTTTGACTTGATTTGTTTTTTATGGGAAATTGTTTCAGACATTATCTGTGTTCTTCAGTCTTCATTCTCCTTTCTCTGTCCTTGAAGTCCTGATTTCATTGCTCATTGTTTTAAATGGCTGTAAACTGAGTTTGGTGCATCACTAAAGCTGCAGCAACCACAGTTTACCCAGGGCTCTTCTCACTTTATATCTTTGCAAATTGCTTTGCAGCTTGTAGAATATTTTAAAGCTGGTACCAGTATCCTCCTCCTTCATCTTAGTCAGCATAGACATGCATGAATGCATCTGTGAAAAGGTTTTAGAAGCAAACATGTCAAACTTTTCACATGGCTCATGGTGCTTTTATTTATTTATACATTGAACAGTTGAATTACTTGAAATTATATTGTCCTGATAAAAATATCATAATCAGACAAAAGCAACGGTAAGATTGCTTGATTGGTAATAATATTGCATATTAAAACTGCTACGTTGCCCATCTTTACCGTAGACCAGTACTTTTGTTATTATGACAGTGAAACAACAACTAAACCCAGACTAGTACACTTCTTTTAGGCAAGTTAGCAGGATGTTTAATAAGGATTTTACTGCAGGTTTTACAGGCTGAATGACATCTCTGAAGCTAGTTCAACAGTCCAGGCTGCATAGCTGGTGAGAATAATAAAAACATGGAGTAGAAATGGAAAAAAGGATCAAAAAGAGGACATGGGTCATCCCACGATAACATAGTGGCATGTTACATACGGTAGTTTGATAGAGTTTCCTTGTTTGGTCAGAGGTTGAGATAACACTTTCTTCTTCCCCTTCACTTTTCCATCACTTCAAAATGTTCCCAGCTCTTCTCACGCTCTTTCTGTTTTTTTTTACAGGGAGCGTGTGTGGATGAACCTGATCACGGTTGTGTGCGGCATCTTCCTGTTCTTCCTGCTCGTCACGGGGTGCATTTTGAGGGTCGGACGCAACTCACTCTGCAGCTCGCTCAAACAAACTGTTCCCAACATTACCAGGTGACACACAAATCCCAAATGAAGCTAAACACGACATTTGAAGCCCAGTGAGCTTTTGCGTCTCTCTTACACAAAACTGTTTGTGTCCTCATGTCTCTTTCATGGCCTAGTTTGTCACTATTAAAACCACTCACTGGAGCGTTTCAGTCAGTAAAAGCTCCACTTTCCTTTCCCTTCACATATGAAAGCAGATACAGTACATGTTAGTCATTTTTGTGCCTGTAAACAAGTTACACAGGTCTCGTGGCTGTTGTAGAGTTGTTTCAAGAGCTCCCTTTGTTCAGCTGAAAGCACTGAAACACCCACAATGCTACAGATTTTTTTTATATGGCAACCTACACGTGCTCTGAAAAGAGAAGGAAATATCATTAAACTGCCCAACATTCCTTAGCTGGTAACCTCTTGTTGGAAGGACCTTTGAGTTATTTATGTTTATTGTGGCTTGTCATGGTTCCTCCTCTGAGCAGCTCCTTTGATAGTAAACTCAGTGGCTCTTGAACACCATTAAGTTTGAAACCAATCCATGGAAACCTGTGAATCTAAGTGGACATTTTCACTATTTTCTGATTATTTTGAAAGGACTTTGGCAGCTAAAATATTTCATATAAGATACATATTTAATGGGACAAGAAAACAGACTGAAACTTAATAATCTGTTTTCTTTCAGCTTTCTAACTTGCAATTTATTTTTGTCTCTCAAGCTGTGAGGATGCCCAGACTAGAAAATGGGTCGGTACGCTTAATGGAGAATCATTTTACAGCAGTCTACACAGAGCAGAGGTCAGTGTTTCCTTCACTACTTTTTTTTTTTTATGTCTGGAATAACACGGGTACAATAACCAGCTCTCTGCTTAAGTCGACAGAGGCACAAATTCAGTTCACATACCAGTAAAAACATTGGGTCTACTGTGATTACAAACATGGGAAAAATACAATATTTTGGATCAAGCTCAAGCAGAAAACTTCAAATATTCCTTTTATTCACAAATTTATCCTAGAGCAACTCAGTGCACAACACATTCACCAGCAAGTTTTAATAGACCATTATTACAGCTACAGTGTGCTACGCCACTGGGAACATTTTCCACACATTCACCGGAGTAAGAGGTCCAAAACAAAAGTGAATGGAGCTTTTCTTTTTTTTTATGAGGCTGATGTGAACGAATGTACAGTGTGGATTCTTTAATCAGTAGTGTTTTAGACAGTTTCTTTATATAGTGGCAGTTACTATAAATCATGTAGTCAGGAAAGACCACATATAAGAGCATATACTGTATGTAGTGTGGGTCTGTCACTAACTTCTCATATAAGCCCCCTTTCAGACATGCGCCCCCAGCCAGGAGTTTGCTGGCTACTTCACATCTAGGCATCATGTCTGAACAAAGCCCCGAGTCATGCAGCCAGCAAAGTGTTACTGGCCTGGTCAAATAGTTGGCTAGGGTCGAACTGGCTACATGTCTGAAGTGAAGTGGTCACGGTCACAGTGACAGCAGTTCTCCGTTTCACTGCTTTGTTCTTGCTAACACAGCTCCCCCTTTTTATTCACTATATATAGCTCACTTGTACAAAGCTTTGCCAGGAATTCGCACACAGCACTGCTACATGTAACCTGCAAATTCCCAGGTATCGTGTCTGAAAGGGGCTATAGATTCACAGATGTGTGATGTGTTGTCTCCTCCCTGACTCCCCCTCAGACGGCAGTGTGGGTCAACTTCTTCTTCTGGCTCATCATCGGGGTTCTGGTGATCGTTCAGAACTGTCGGAGTTCAGGGTCAAACATGATCACAGGAGGTGACAGAGGGCACGATGGGCCTTTCGGTGGTTCAGGGGCAACTCCTGAAGAGACGGAGCCATTTTTCAACCGTCCTTCAGGGCCACAGTGAGGATGCATATTACAGAAGCGCATATGTTAGCACAAAATGATAAGGTGGGCGTACATGTAGAAAAAGGATAAACGCATTTAGAGTGCACTGCCTTCAATCTCAAGCATTTTTGTCAATACCAACATGTTCGAGATACCATATGGAACTTAAAAAAGCAATTTGTGATTAATTGGCAGAAGCGTTATTGCTCGACAAGGATGGGATTCAAGACCACGTGTCCCTCGTCAGGTGCACATATGTTGTTAAAACAATCAACCGTGTCTGTCTGAAGCAGACTCACCACACACAACGAGATTAAATTGTTGATATTTGTGTTTGCCCAGTTCCCATATTTAACACATCTCAAATGTGTAACTACTGGCTCACACAGAGATGTGAATGTGTGCTTCTTTGTTTACACAGCTGAGAAATGGGAGACTGTTCATTGCAGGAATTTAAATTTCACTAGTATGATCAGACTTTGTACTTTTGATGCAGCTAGAAGATGTGTGTTATGTTAAACATATTAATTTTGCAAATTAACCACACTGGGTCTCGGTATCTCAAGGTCACGTTTTTTAATCCATCTGAAGTCTTTACTGAGTACATGGTCCTCCATGCCACCAGTTTTATTGTTTGTTGTCTTCATTCTTTGCTAGGCCTATTTCTCTTCTTTTCATTTTGTCTTCAAATTGTTGTTTTTGGATTGTTCATTGTCAGAGTGTGAACTAAACCACTGTTTGAAAGAGCACTCATTAGACACAATAGGAATAACATTATGCCATATTATGTTTCAGTGTTGCTGTTTGATGTGATGCTGCTTGACACATGATGTGCTACTTTTTTTAAACAATAAACCAGAGCGTTTAATCACAATGACCTTTTTTAAAATCTGTCGTCCTGTTTAAAGCTTCTATTTAACAGGCGGTTACTTAAGAGAATGACCACATGACAGTGGATATGTTGAGCTGTGTCGCCCTCTGCTGGTTGACAATAGGTAAAGACTCAGCTCCAACAGACCCACAACACAAATGCGAACCTGAGGAGAACAACAACAATTTGGCACATGTTGTATGTAAACCTACCTGTCCTGTTTGAAGGAAAACAAAAAGTGACTGATTAAAAAGTACTAATAAATTCTGCTAACTATCATATCTGTGGTGAAAACCTAGCAAATGTGCACAAGACTTGTGATTGCCGTACATAGAGATGGTTACTGTGTGAGTTGTTACCTGACAGATTAATCTTGACAGAATGATCTTACTGCTACCAGAACCACTGAATCTCTCTCTCCCTTAATGTGTAATCTTACTGGATTACCTGACCTTACTTGAGCCCTGAAGTAGAAGAAGATAATGTTCACTGACAAGAGAAAGAGGAAAGGAGACCAATGGGGAAAGAGACTGTAAAGAAACACAGGCATTTCTTCCTGTAAACTGTTCCAAGTATTCACCATTTCCACCTAAAGTCAAGGTCAAACCTGGAATGGAAGCGTGTGATTTAATTTTGTTGAGATATGCACAGGAAATTGTTAAAGGATGAGCAAGTAGGAAGAGTGCCGTGGAGAACAGCGAGGACCTTCTGAAACTTGAGTCCTGAAGAAGACCACAAAGCTCCTGATATATTTGACTCTGGAGTCAATGGTAAGGCTTTGTCACATCCTATCTGATTATCAATAATTAAAATAATAAGCTGTATGTGTATAAATACATATAACTGAGGAGTAAAGTGGTGAAAAAGCGTCAGACTTGTGGAAAGATGGGGATGAAAGGCAAACAAGAGCAGCAGACAGTGCAGACTGAGTAAAGCCATTATAAGCCCTTTTAAGCTACTTCACTCTACACAGATCAAATGTTCTGTTTTAAACCTTTTGGCCTGTGCTGGAGTTGTAGCTGTGAGCTATTGAGTCAATTTATCTGCTTTTTTGGCAGTGAGCCTCTAGTTTACTGCCAAAACTGCAGAGAACAGAGCAGAGTCCTTAAATCTCAATAATGAATCACACAGTCTGTCAACTGGAAATATATTTAAAATCAACGTTTTCAGGCATCTGTCTGCTTAAATGTCTACAAGCCAATCATTGTATCCCTTCCAGAACCTTCATGTCTGACCTACACTCGTCTCTGTCTGCCCAGAACATGTCACATGATCAGTGTGAGTTGGAGGCAGTGAGCGTGGAGTCCCTCCTGAGCGACGCCAAGAGGATGCAGAAGCAGTGTCGTGAATGCAGCCAGCAGCTCTCATTGGCTGCCATGCAGCTGAGGGTGGAGTCGGCCACCCTGAGGGAGCAGTGTGAGGTCACCCAGCTCGACATGGCCTGGATCCACCGGCAACTGGACGAGCTCATGAACACCAAATCTGCCTTTGAAGCCAGGGAGAGGCAGGCACGAAAACTCAGCAAGCAGCTATGAGGAAATGGTGAGGAGGCAAAATGGCAGCAGCAGTGGTCAACAGACAGCTCCCACAAGGAAGATGGAGAAGAAGGAGATAGTCTCTAGAAACTCTGAAAGGAGAAGTGGAAATGGGTGAGGGAGGATAACAAAGAGACCAAAAAAAAAAAAAAACAGGAAGGAAGAAGGGCAGATGTGTGAAGTGATAGGCAAGATTGTGAAGAAAGGAGCAAAAAACTAGATGCAATTAGAACCCAGCACCAACTAAAACTAATGTTAACTCGACAAGTTGGTGTCAACTTCCCACAATTAGGTCTGAAAAATACTTGTGATAGAAAAAGTACCTTGATATTTTGTTTCTCTGTAACAGAAAGTAATTCCATCCATCCATCCATCTTCCTCCCCTTATCCGGGACCGGGTCGCGGGGGCAGCAGTGATGCCCAGACTTCTCTCTCTCCAGACACTTCCTCCAGCTCCTCCGGGGGAATGCTGAGGCGTTCCCAGGCCAGACGAGAGACATAGTCCCTCCAGCGTGTCCTGGGTCTTCCCCGGGGCCTCTTCCCGGTGGGACATGCCCGGAACACCTCCCTAGGAAGGCGCCCAGGAGGCATCCGAAACAGATGCCCGAGCCACCTCAGCTGGCTCCTCTCGATGTGGAGGAGCAGCGGTTCTACTCTGAGCTCCTCCCGGGTCACCGAGCTCCTCACCCTATCTCTAAGGGTGCGCCCGGCCGCCCTGCGGAGAAAGCTCATTTCGGCCACCTGTATCCAGGATCTCCGGGAGAAAGTAATTCAAAGGCCTAATACTGAACAGACCTGTGTGTGTCAGGGAGTTCAGAGAAGACAGACAAACAGCAAGAAAAACAAGGATGTGACAAAGACAAAAACAGCACTTTATAAAAATACACAGTTCTTTCTCATTCTTCTTGGTTTCTGCTGGTGCAGTGTGAATAGGCACATGCATTTAATCTCTCCTCTGTTTCTCCTTTTGTGTATTTAATAAACAATTTCCATACACACTCTTGTCTCTTTTGCTATTCTCAAGCATCTGTCCACCTTCTCGTTTAGCTGGATTTCGTCACATATTTTTTATGTCATGAAAAATCACTATGTTTTTCATTATTCATATAAGTTTAGTCTGTAAAAGTTCCAAAGCAACAATTATAGCCTAGGCTATATGAAGGAATTTGATCTTGGGCTTGGCACACCCAAAATAAATAAAAAAGCATGTATTTTCCTACATTCAAGGTTTCCTCCTGTGGAAACAGTGAGCTAAATTAGACAAATAAGGAGTCTGCATCATGGGAAGTACATAATATTTTAAAAATAACTTCTTAAAACAAACAAGTACAGCACAGAGACCTCGCGTGTTTTTTAATGTATAGGCGCGACACTTCAGTCCAGTAGGTGGCAGTAATACATCATTCTGGTTTGCTGACTGCTAATAAAGAAAACGGAAGAAGAAGAAAACTGAAACGATGTACATGAAAAAACAGAATACATTCCATGTAACTAACAAAACAACGTAAAGTTTAACTATCAGATATTAGGAAGTTTTAGAAGAGACAAGGTAAGAACCTTTTTTAATTCCTTGGGCTCTATTGTTGTGTCACACTCCGGCCCAGTCGGTGGCGGTAATGTTCCTTAAGTTAGCTTGCAAACCCCCAACAAACATAGGAAGAAGAAGAAGAGACGAGGCAGGAAAGCGGTGGGGGCTGCTTTTCAATTGTCATTCATTCTTTTTCAGCAGCAAACGTAGCTATAACAAACAATCTACACTTCAGCTGAGGAAGCTTCAGTTTTATGCGCTCTGTCCTTATTTGACTTGTTTATCTTATTTAAAGAGCTATGAAAATTGGGCTATCAGCGAAAACATACTGTACTATCTTGCCCCAAGGCGGCGCGGTGGAGCCTGGGTAACCCTGCCGTACAGTCCCCCAGACCCTCGTTGGGGTAAGCGGTACAGATAATGGATAGATGGATCTTGTTCTGTTGGCCCTCTTTGAGCTTGGCCATGTAGCCGAAGTTTGAGGGGAACTAACGTTATGCCTTTTTACGTCTGTAGTGTTAGGACTCTGGAGTAGATTCTGGGGCTCATGAAGTTATGTCCCCATTGATATACACTGACAGGCCACTTTATTAGGTACACCTGTTCAAACGTGTGCAATTCAATGCAGCACTTCCGCCTTAACATTTGTGTTTATAAAGCTTAAAATGTTTCCGTTTTGGGGGGGACTGTCATACATGTGATGTGTGTTTATTATTGAGGTCATAGTTAAAGGTGTTGTAGTTTTGGGTGTTCCTAATATTCTGGCCCTCTCATGCATGTAGCTGGGGAGAACAAAAATATCTCCCACTAATATTTTCCCACAGCAGAGAAACCACACAGACGCGACGTCCGTGCCAAAACTACACACGCTCTGCAAACAGAGCACAAGTGTGAGTTCTGCTGGAAATGCTTCACTGAAGAAGAGAAACCACATCACTGTGAAAGACGGGGGGGAGGTGCTTCATCTGGTAGGAGATGCTGCAGGGCAGACACACCCCGGCACAGACTTATTTGAAAAAACCTGCTGCTGATCACTTGTGCCTGAAGAACTTTAGCCGGTAAGGAGATGTAAAGAGACGCAGGTGTTCTGCTCAAAGCACAGTTTAGGAACTGTACACCCACAGCTATTAGATCAGATGTGCCAAAATTGACTGTTTGCCAGAAAATGATTGCTGGATGTAGTATGTCTATATGCTAGAAAGGCTGTACTTACCACAGGTGGTCATACATTTGCCTGTGACAGAGGTCGATTTGTGTCTGCTGCCGTATATTACTCAAAAATAAACTACTTTGATTTAAGTGTGCCATTATCCAGCCAGTTTGAGAAAGTAAACATTCAGCCATGTTCAAAGTACATTTATTCATAAAAAGGTTACATATTCCAGATACCCTTTTATATTTGGAAACTAGACTCAAGCATGACTGATGTGGGCTATACATTTAAAATAAAGAAAATGATCCACTTTGCAATAATTTGACTGCGTATTTTTCTGTTGTAGACTATAAACCATATAGTGATTTCTACTAGTTTAACTACCTCTAAGGATCCAGTAAACCCAGAAAGTCACAGTATTCTCTTTGCCAAACAGTGATTCAAGCTAATACCTTTATAGTGAAAGTGTTTTTTTGTTTTTTACGTCAGGTTACCTTTATTTCCCTTTTGTGGGTTATATTTTAAAGGCCGTTAACCATCCAGTGCCTTTGTACCAGTTAAAATTTCTATAAAGGGCCAGTACAATCAGCCAAATGCCAAAATTTCCTTGCCAAAAATTGATCACTCATATTTTATTGATTAGATTCCATTCAGGCAGCTCTTCTACAGTTAGTTTCATGCACACACAATTCACAAGAAAGGACAAGGCACACGGACAAAGCTTGTGTCACAAAAGATTAAAATTTTAATCACCATTATAAATCATTCTATAAATACATGGTTGTCATATCATTAAGAATTTATTTAAATAGCAATAGATAACAAACAAGAAAGGGTGGTTGTCGCTGGGGTCAAAGGTGCCGAGAAAACAACACAACAGTCTGCTGGGCTTCAGCTGGGACAAAACCACAACTGTTAGTGGAAGTAGCTGGGAATGTGTGTGTGTGTGCGTGTTAAGCTTGTTTTTCTGCCGCTTGGTCTGCTCCTCCTATTTTCACCGCTCTGAAATACAAAATGAGAACAGGTTAGAGACAAAATCTTCTCAACATGGTATGTTTACATGCGTTTGCTAGTAGAGGTAAACTTACTTTCACCTTTCTTTTTGAGAGGCGACAGTACTGCTTTCGCCTGGAAACACACAAACTCAGTTACCAAAACATCTCTAACCATGAAAAATTTTAAATGGTTAAAAACTGAAATACTGTAATGATATTAAAAGCTCTTGGTGGAGATAATAACCCAGTAAAGTCTTCGAAGGTGTACTGTAGCATTCAGGAATGAACTCTTTTATTCAGTTAATGTAAACACACTGAAATATCATTTTAGTGTGTGCAACAGTTGAGAAATTTGGAGGTTTAAATGTAAATGTAGCTACTTATTTATTACCTTCTTGATAGCAGTCCAGTCTTCAAGGATGTCAATGTCTCTCAACATGTAGACGATAAAAGGTCCTGCAAGGCAGAAGGGGATTTTTAGTAATAACCTCGTGAAGCAGAATAAACAAAACAGAGAAACTACATATACAGAACAACAGCTGGGAAAGGAAAGTGCCGTGATGCGAGTGACACTAATAAAATGTGCAGAAAGGTAAAAGGATGGTGAGGTGGGCAGATGTTAAATGAAAAACAAAAGGTTAATGTTCACCTGAAACAAGAGCAACTTTCTTTTTTCTCTCCGACTGACCCAGGAGGTTTTTCTTTTTACACTTCTTGCTCTTCATCTCATCGCTCCACTCTGGGATCAGAAAATATAAATGATATGAGGTTTTGCTGCTGTTTGTGGGTTTATCTCTTCTGACAATGGCTTACCTGAGGTCAGATCTATATTCTGTCTGTCTTCCTCCAGTGTCCTTATCTTTTCAAGCAGCTCTGTCTTCATGGCGTCAAACAGCAGTGTCTGCTCACTCTGTAACATACACGACGTGCAGTTGTATCATTTTATTCGTGTCCCTCCCTATGTAGTATAAAGTTACTGTGTGTGCGTGTGTGTGTGTGTGTGTGTGTGTGTGCGCAATACCTCCAGGTGCTGCCTTGCTCCTTGTCTTTCACACTCATACTTGTGTTTGATCACCTGCAGACACAGCTCTCTGTACACTCCTGGAGATAAATACAAAGACAGGTGCCACTGTGGGTTTTTCGGGTTCTCAGTTACTTTCAGACACAGAGAGAAACCACTAGATATAAAAAATATTTGTACTCTACCCTACAATTTCACATTTTTAACTCAAAATTTGAACATCCACGGCTCCTGTAAAACCAAAACTCATTGTTTTTACACCCTGGTTTATGTAGAGAGTAAAGAAATTATGTTAAGTAATGAGCTAAAGAGGTGCTGGCAGGTGGGTTTTGTTTTTACATACCAGCCACTTGTGTTCGTATCTGCATGTTGTCTTGTAGTGCAGCCAGTGGTTCCCTGTATTCTCCGGCCTTCCCTGTCAACACTTCATCCAACTTCACTTTCACTTGGTTCAACCGCTCCCGAAACAGCCTGCAATCACATGGAAAAGTTTTTGTCTGCTTCTTTTTTCTTCCATCGCTCATATAGAACTGAGATTATTTCAAATCACACTAGAAGGAAAGAGTAGAGTGCGCCCATTGCCACAGTTCAACTTACTTCTCTTTCAGCTCCTGAAATTGTTTTTCCAGATCCAGCATCTCATCTAGACACTCTCCTCTCCTCCGCTCACAGTCTTCATCATCCATCTCTTCACAGAGGGCACAGACAGTGAACACTCTCCCTTCTTGCATATGTCAAAACAATCAGTCAGTTCAGTGTAGTGCTTGGCATTTACCTGAACTCTCCTCTTCTTCCTCCTCTTCTTCTTCCTCTTCACTCTCTTCTAAATCACTGTCCCTTTCCTCCATGCTCTCCTCCAAGGTCTCCTCTGCTCTTCCACCTCCCCTTCCTTCATGCTCTCTCGGCTCCTCCATCTCTCCATTGGCTTCAGGGAGCTGTGACTCTCCTTCTGCCTCCATCTCCTCCTCGGGCTCCCTCACAGGGGGTTGGGTGGGCATCGCTGGAAACAGAGACAAAAGAAGTGTCTGGGTAGGGTAAAAGTAAAGTAAAGTAAATATTGATATGGTTATGTAAAAATACTTTAATAAGATGATCTATTTTGCCAAATTCAGTGCACAGCTGCAAAGGTATTTCAGACAGCATCCTTAACTATTTCAGAACTAGACACAGACTTTATTATATGGTTTCTTAGGGGGCAGCGACCCTTACATTTAAAACTGTTTTGACACTTTACTATTTCTGGCCCTACTTCTGCTGCACTTAATGTGTCCTAATAAAATGGATTTACACTAATGGAATTATCTATATTGACACAGTTTTATTGGGGCTAACATTTCTCAGTATTGTCCTGGGTGATGCTGATGGATGTAGTTAAACTGAAGCAGGAGCCATATCGTTACTTGAGATGCTGGGCTGTAATAATGTTAAACCTTAAAAGGGGCTCAGAAGGCAGACACATGATAAAACACACCACTGTTTGTAAAGCAGAGGCCTGTCCGTCATTTAATGGCAAATTCTTGTTTTCCCCAAGAGATACAATACAATTACAGTAGCAAAGGGAAGACCGCGGGACTCCGAGCTACCGTATGCTTTCCGTATTTGTGCCAAGCCAGCTAGAGAAACGCCTGTACGCGACCGGAAATTATCAGATTTTGCTTGACGGAAAGTAAAACCTGATAAGATAAAGAGGACACATTCATATTGCAAACGAACATGCTAAGGAAAATAATTATAAATGTGATATAAATACTTCGTTCCCACCAAAATGTGGCTTCATGCATTATAAGGGCTTTTATTTTGTTTCTTAAACCGGATGTCTTGTTTCCACACGTCTCTACCTTGACCACTGTAGGCTCCGTGATGTCATAGTCTAAAATGGTCACTGTTACGGACTCGATGGCGGTTATTAGTATATAATAAAAAGCCAAGCAGGGTCTAAAGCCCGTTCAACTGTCAGGGCATGCACTTACAATACCCAATAAATGAATTAAAGAGTCCTCGCATTTAAATTTCAATTTAGCGGCAAATAAACCATTGTGAAGTCAAGTGCAACAGTAGCTAACAATTGAAACCACACACAGTAAGGGAATGACTTTACATCATACAGTTTTATTGTTAAAATGGTCTCTAAACCTATTTGGGCTTTAACAGTAAACAATATCATCTGCGTTTAAGGGGCACTAAACATGCTGAAGCACTACCAGAGATGCCTTCATATACACTAGACTCTTCCTACCGCATACAGAGTAATTTCGTTATCCGTCCCTGCAGGAAAGCGATGCTGTTTGTAAACAAAGAGCCTTCTCTTCACAGTGCTAGGGAGTAAACAGAAGAGCTTGCTCACCTTCTCCCTCTGTTAGGCAACAGAAATTAAAACTATGCTTTAATATATTTCCATTTGAAAAAGTACTTCCTCGTCTGTTCAGTCTTCAGTTCGACACTTTGCCGGACTCTACAACCCGTAAGCCCAGCCAATCAGCGCCGAGTCCTAGTGTTGGGCTGACCAAATAACAATGTTACCTGCCACATAAACACTACAGATGAAAGTATTATATTATAGTATTCTCTAGCAGTTAATATTTATTGTTTTACTATAGCCCCAGCCTACATATGTGATAGCACCTTTTATGCTATATACAATAACACTTTAAATTCAGTAATTTGCACTTATAGAAAGTTTACCTGATTTAGCAATTTACCACCCCTGTGATGTACAAAAATGTTCTTCAGTTATAATGTAGGCATAAAGTATCACAGTGTATATGGTCTCAAAAAGTCTATATTAATGTGTGAACCATTTAATGAAAATTTGAATTTGTAAAAGACACAGTGATTCAAAGTGTTATAATGCAGTAGTTTCCCTGATAATACCCCATACAGGAGAATAAGCAAATATTTGCAAACTCTGTGCTAATGCAGCCACCATAGTGGTGATTAGCATCATTCCTCCCTAACCGAACGGCTGTTCTGACATTAACCAAACGTGTGCTTAGAACAGAAATTAAAGTGCACTACAGTAGTTGTGATACTGAAGTTAACCACAAGATGGCACCAAAGTAACGTATAGGGAGCAGTGTAAATTATAATGGTGGGATTCATATCATTTTGACAATAGGCCTTTTTCATGGCAGACATTTTGGCACGTCATAGCAGAGAAAGCGCAAGTGGAATTAATAACATTAATTTATAATGTAGTGTTTGTCACTGATATGGCCTACAGGGCCATGTTATTGCCATTAACTGCACCTGTGTTTTGGCGTGAAGACAGTACCCTATAAAAAGGTCAGTAAATAAGGTCCGATTTCAAATGAATAAACTGAACACAAATAAGTATCACATTTAAAAGGGATGCATTGCTGGATAAATATAATCCCCTATAAAACCCTTCTGTAGCAGAGAACTGACAAAAAAAAGTCAAACATTATGTCCATTTTACATGTTTTTATTAAAGTTGCATAAAAGTGTAACAAAATTGGGCAGAAACAAGACCTGTTGTTGATATTGCTACATTTGTTTGTTGGTTTGATCTAATCATTGTCAAAAAAAAGACATTATTCATCCAGTCCACATGGTTTAGCTCTTGTATTTAGCCTCAATGATAATATTCAGTATATATATATTTTTTGCAATTTTCCCCAACAGTAAAAAAAAACTGACTTCTCAGTAACAGTCTAAGAAGGTATAATCCAAACCTGGATTTAGAAATGAAAATCCACTCAAATTTAGGTACTAATCGAGTTTGCCTGTTATAATCCAAACAACCAAATTGTCTTGAAAAAAATGCCGACCGTGTTTGATTTGGAAACACCGCTATAGGAAGGCAAAAGCAATCGTACCAAAATGTATCTGAATGGATTTCTGTTAAAAAAACACGTTAATCCAAGGCCTGGCAGCAAGAAATGTCATGATCACAATAAAAACAGACTAGTATTCAAATGGCAAGTGTAAAGTGGTTTTTTTTTTTTTCTAAACAAAATCGCTGTATCAAGGCTGAAGTATTAAACACTCATTTCTACAAACAAAACAAATCAAACTCCTTTTTGTTTTTAAAAAGAAAAGAACAGGAGCAACAGAAGATGCGAGTTTCTCCACATGCTGCAGTTCTTTTCAGTAACACACCTTTATAGCAGTATGTGTTACCTTTTTAAGAATGAATCTCTCCCGTTTATTTGGTTTGTGTCACATAAATAATACCTAAGGCAACATCTGTTTTTCAAAAAAAATGAAGAAAGGCTAGAAGGGGAGGTTTGACAGAAGTATGAAACTGGATGGAAGGAGGAGACAGGGGATGCCAGGGAGACATGACAGAGCGGCAAGAAGAAAATGGACCAGAGAGTGTGTGTGTGTGTTGGCTCTGAGAGAGAAAGAGACAGACAGTGGAGGTCTGCTGTCACTGCAGGTGTCCACAATTGGATTACCAGAATCACAGCAAATGTTAGTGCCTCTCCTATTGGCCAATGGGCTTCAGTCTCTGATCTGATTGGCTAAGGATCAGAAACAGATGGCTTATTCTCAGAGATGATTGGCAGCTGCACTGGGGTAAACACTCTTGCAACACTGCACCCTTGGTGTGTGTGTGTGTGTGTGTGTGTGCGAGCACATCTGTGTGAAAGGCAGCTGTGTTTGCTAACGTGTTTCCTTTCCTCTGCCCCAAGGTTGGCCTGTGCGCATGAGTGAGAGAAATGAAAAACAAAAAGAAGAAGGGTGAATGCATCTAAACAGCTTCAATGTGAAATAGTGGCCTCCCTCCCTCCATCCAGTCGAGACATCTCATTGGTGGCTCTGCTGATGTGACAGGCAGAGGACAGTACCCTCTCCACAACCCAACAGAGCTCCACAGACGTGTTCAGTTTCCATGTAGGTGTGACCCAAAACAACGTGGTGGACTAAGTATTTTTGTAAAAAGAAAAGGGGGTGGGGGAGAGACAATGGTAAAGAGACAGAGAGAGTAGGGATAATTAAACAAGGCAGCTTTAGTTTTCTGCTGGGGGAGGGTGTGTGTGGGTGTGTGTGTGTGTGTGTGTGTGTGTGTGTGTGTGTGTGTGAAAATGCATCCACAAAAGAATAAAATAAAATAAAACCCACAAGCAAACAGGAACCAGTCCTACACTAAAAATCTAATTTTCCATACAGAACAGCAGAATATACAGGCCATAAAACACTCCTATTATGAATGTTGCTGTACATTACGTAGCAATGCACATACACAGCATTTAGCAATACGCAGACATACATATGTATGTGCAGACCGGACAGCGGTGGCTCTAAACAGCCTCACTTATGACTGCCCTACATATCCGAGGAAAGAAAAACAACTCTGAACTCTAGTCAAGCACACCCGATATAGAAGAACCTACTCTACGTCAAAAGAAAATTTAGTCTGAAATTTGCTGGACCGCCCGACCACCACAGCCAGCCACTGACCTGTTTTTAGGCTCAACCACTATTCTAAGGGTCAACATTGCTGTACTAAAGATATACCAAACAATAGTTTGTGGTCAGAGATTCAGATTTTCTCCCCAGAACTGACAGACACACAGAAAAGCTTTTAGATGCACCACTGTAGCAAATGCCTCTGATTAAGGTTGAAAATCAGCAAAAACTGTAGCCCCTCAAAAGGTAATTAACAAAAAACTACAGTGAAGTGAATACCCCAATGCCCTCAAACTGTACCAGAGAGTAGCATAAGAATGATGGTTGGTAGCTGGATCATTTAAAAATTAAACCCTTTACAAATAACCAAACATGGAAGATCCTGCTTCAAACCCTCCTCCTTCACCCTTCCGCTCTTTTCTTGGCCGTTACCAACTCGTTCTCTTGTTCCTCTTCCCACTCTTGGCAGCTCCGCTCCCAGAAATGATGGGATTCATCTCATCTCAGCTCCCCTCCTCTTCCTCCTCAGACAGATGGAGGGGGATGCAGGGGAGGGTGGGAGGAAGAAGAGCCGGATAAGGAAGAGTAAAGCCAAACAAAAGGTGAAATAAGGGCAAGAGCAGACAAAAGAGGGAATGAGAATGCCTGGATTAAGACCGGCGAATTGCTTTTTATGAATTCTTTACTTTTTCTTCTTAGCTGACAGTTTTTAAGAATGAAGTCCAACAATCAACAAGATCCAGGCAACAAGAGAAGTGGAAGAGGTGGGACAAAACAAACATTGGGCCTAACAACGAGATGAAACAAGGTCCAGTTAGTGTATTTCATGGCGGTCTTTGATGGAGGAAAATTGGTGTTAAAATAAAAAGATGGGGAGTGGTACAAGAGTCGAGGGGAGGAGGAAGAAGGACTCCATCATTTCTTCTGAGGTGTGGCGAGCTTCTGCATCCCTCGGATCTTGTCGAGCAGCTCTGAGATGAAGTCCTGTGAGGAGACAGAAGAGACAAACATGGGAGAAAAAAAAATCCACAACGCCTAGATCTGGGTGTAAAGGATGGAACAAAGGGAGGGGGGGGAAGAAAGAGCCATTCCTTACCTCAGTAGGTTTAAAACAGTCAACCAGTAAGTCCTGGAAAAGAAATAAAAGCTGAAAGAAATCATACTTTATTTCTGCATGTGTATGTGTTCTCGCAGGCCCTAACACAAGTATGTACAGTAAATGTGTGCCCTACCTTGACCCTAGCTGCCCGTTCAACGTCACTGGGCATATCCAGCAGTTCATCCACATCAATCTCAAGCTCTGGGATGGCTTCTTCCTGTAGCACATACATCAAGAGAAGAAGAAGGTAAAGCTCACCGAGAGACACAAATGAAAATACACTCACAATCTGAAGAAAGCTCAGTGGTTTCATAAGTAGCAAAAGGTTCAGTGTACGTGTGTACACTTTCATAAGTAGCAAAAGGTTCAGTGTACACACACACACAGTAATGAACCTCTTTTCATAGGCACATGGAAGGAAATCCTCATCCTTTCTATTCTCGGCGCCTGTATTTATGTTACGTGGTTGTCTACAAATAGACCAGCACAGGCATTGCTGTCTCTTTGTATGACGTGATGCACTGACTGATGTATGTCCTCTTCTCAACACCAGAGGGCGGTGCTATTCCATCGCCTCACATTGTAATGGTGACAGAGAAAAGAGGAGCGAGAGAGGGAAACAGGCATGTAAGCAGTTATTTCTCTGAACATGGTGTCTTAATCAAGAACATATTGAAAACAACACAGCCAGCACATTATCTGATGTGATACCTCAGCTATTTTATTTTTTGCTCAAAATAAACCCTCACTTCAATTCTGATGCTGCAACACATTCCAAAAAAAGTTGGATGGCTGCATTTCAGAGCCAGTAATGAGTTAAAACAATGATAGGATAGGGATAGATAGGAAGGGATTTGGATATGTCACCCTCTAGGGTGCATAACATACTTAAAAGATTCAAGGTATCTGGAGGGATTTCAGTGCGTAAAGGGCCAGGGCGGGGGGAGTGATGCAGTCGTGTACAATACGGCCACGTTGTGACAAGTCAGCATGAGCGGCTTCATTCACATTTCCAGCCCAGGAGCTTCAGTTGTGGTTTGGTTAGCCATGCTGCTAACGTAGCCTGCTCTACCTTAGCACCAATTCTACCACAAGGGCGTTGGCATTGATACATAAAAGACACCGTTTAACACCCAGTATTAATGAGAATGCATGGCATGTTGTTATAGTGCGCTAACTGTGCCCAAATTCGACAGTGAATAGCAGTGAATGCTCATGCCAACATTGTAAACAAGAGTCTTCTTCCTGCACAGTAATTGATCACCTATTTCTGATAAGCTGACCCCTAACATAGTTTAAGCAGCTACTCGCCTTCAGGAAGTGACGTCACTGTGAGGTTGTCTTTGTGTCTTTATCTGATCAATTCTTAATTCTGATTGATCTGTCGCTGCACAGAAAGTGGTCTAATACTCTCTTTCTCCGTTTCTCCATCTGTCTCACTCACATACTAGCTGAGTGTGTGCTTTCAAAGCGGTGCACCCCTGGCAACAATAACACACACACATTAGTACAAACACTCATTTCCCCCTCTTGTGCAGCTCAGTCGCTACCCTATATTCATGTCATTCTCTAGGAATCTCTCTCTCGCTCTCATCCTCCCCCTTGGTTAGAGTCGCCCACACCAGCTGTCTCTGCACCTGCCCAACTGCCCCCTACCCCATCTCACAAACACAGAGAGACACACACAAGTCATGTAGTGTGCACAATTTGTGTGTCACATTGACAAAACCAAATGGTAGTTCTTTTTGTTTTTGAGACTCCTCAACATCACACACATCCCATGTGTTACACACACCAGTGGCTTACAGAATTGCAAAATGGGCATTAATAACTGTGTAGTTTGTGTGTGTGTGTAAAGAGCAGGATATAAGGACTTAATCTGGAGGAGGGCAGCCTGTGTGTGTGAGACAGACTGGAGGTGACAGACAGACTCACTGTCAGCAGAATAACACACTCACACATGCACCCTGTCATACGGACACACTGTATCAGCAACACAGAAAAAAGCATGAATAAGACTGACACAACAAAAAAGACATAAGCTGTTATTCTAACAGAATTTCTAGGTTAAAGCTCCAACAGACGGGCACAAAGTTATACAGTCAAACACAAATGCTTAGACTGCAGACATATTGAAGCTGTGTGTGATTTACACACAGGAACACACACACACACACAGAGAGGCTGGGAAATCTGACACAGAGTGATCTCCACAACATGTGCTCTCCATGTGCTACTATGAGTGAGAAGAAAGGCAGGAAAGAAAGGACAAGAAGGCAAAGTAAATAACTAGATATAAACATAAAGCTTGAAGAAATAGATCCATCCTTAGTCTATACAGTCTTTAACATTGTACTTTGGGAACTGTTGTGCTTCTGGAATATGCCGTACAAGATAAATGTAACCTACTGCTCATTGTACTGAAAAGTCTAAGTGGTACTTGTTGAGTACAGCCTCCTTGAAAATGATTTGAGAGCCATGTTAAATCTGCAAACGGGGGGAAGGGAGCGCCAAGAGGAAGGAAGGTAAGAGGTTAAGGAGTGTGTTGAGAAGAGGGAGCAGCTGGGAGAGAGGGGATGAGAAGAGGGATGTTGAAAAAGGCCGTAAGACAGGTTTCAGAGAGGAGACACAAAGAAAGCTGGGAATCACTAGGGAAGATTTCCAAAACAATCCCACAGACTGCCTTACTGAAGTAGTCTCAAGTCTGGAGGGGGTTTTACTGTTGGCTGCAGATGTGGTCCGGACTAGAAGATGGCTACAAGCTACTGGCACAGACTGAAGGCTTGTAAACAAAACAGTGTGGAGCGGTTAGCAGAAATCTGGGGGTGACGGGTTTGCTTAACTGGAAATCTTTCTGGTAGCCATCCAAAACACGTCTGCATCTCTGTTTAGGTGTTCGATATGTAATATTATAACTGACTTAGTGCAATTTACTAAAGTGCTGAACTTCCATACGTGTCAGTTTCATCTCATTCAGTACTCCACCCGTGGTTTTGTTGATGTTACATGTAATTAAGAACCATTTTCAAGTGATCATAGTCATATCTGTGTTAGTAAACCAAGAGTTAACGGAGCCAATAAGAAGCACTGTCATACTGGTTAGGTTCAGTGGAGCCACAACTAACTCATAGAAAGTTGAGCTTGCTTTAGGTTACAGGCCCCATGCAAGTGGCTGTGAAGGCCACAGCATTTGTTATATTTGTCCACCTAGTTGTTCTGGTTTTCCCAGTATTTTGTCAAACATCCATGGGTTACAAGTGCCATTTCTTTGTTAAACTGGAATTACAGCATATTAAACTACTTAGTCTGAGCAACCAGCGTCTCCTGAGAAACAAACCAATCCTGTAAATTGGCAAATAGCCGATTTTATTGTGGTCTTCAAATTTAATTACACTCTTCCTGATAAGCATGCGAATATGATTTGCACACTGACGTGCTATGAGAGTGCAAAAAACACTCAGGCACGCTGTCTGTCTGGAGGCAGACTACAGATCAGAGCAGAATGAGATGTGACAGTATGTGTGTGTGTGTGTGTGTGTGTTTGGGTCAGAGCACTGTTCCTCTAACAAGGGGCTGCGTAGTGGCTGAAGGCTTGGACAGATAACATGCCAGATACCGTTCCCTCCCTGGAAAAACTTAAGCTACGCACACACACACGTAGGTCGGTGCCCTCTATCATGGCTACTGTAAATATCTCTGGAAAGGGAACTGATGAGAAAGAGCAATGAATCGTAAGCGTAACATGATTTGAATGAGCAGCAAGAATTTTCCCTCACTCCCCCAAATGCGATTCTGTTCTTACAAATCCACGCCTGCGCACTCTCAAAGTCTGATTTGCAAACCAAAGAGCACTCACATCTTGTTTTGTGCACTTCCAAAACTTTTTCCGCCGGCAGGCTTTCACACAGGCCCCAGTGGAGAAACCTGACAGCCCAGACTCAGGCCGGGATCACGCTCTCCAATCTGATTCTGTTCTTACAAATATATGTGTCTGCGCCCTCTTTAATGCTGAGCTGAAAACTGAAGTAGTGTGTGGTTTTCTGTTTTGGCAGGCATTTACTTCCATACCAATTCCTTATCAGTGTGAAAAGCTTCATGTGTACTGTAAGTAGGTCATAGAGGCAGGCGTTACACAGCCTGAATCCCAGTGATAACATACTATACAACTGACTCCTGTGATAGGATCTAAGTAAACACTGTGTGTGAATGTGTGTAACCATGTGAGTGTAAGGAAGACGACCCTAGAGAGGCCGTGTAAAAGAAAGTAGTTCTGTAAAGAATCACAAAGAGCCTTACATTTATCAAATGCTTGGTGATGGATAATGAATAGCCAGTTTTTCCTTCTTAATGCCTCGGTAACAAACGTAGATAAAAAAAAAAAAAATTAGTCCAACTTCAGGCTGGCACATTACCTGTCCTGCTATAAAGGCTAAAGCAATGTTGTGGCTGGGTAGAGCGTGGGGAGGAAAGAGGGAAACGATGGCTATAGCAGACAGGATGGAGAAAGGAGGAAGAAGCAGGAAAAGCAGGCCACGTGGCACCGAACAATGTCGCCATTCACTTCAGTTTCCTTTGGTGTGTTGTTTTGACTCATCTGGCAAAGTGAGACGTTATGCATGAGAAGGCAACCACACTCCTTCTTCTCTACCTCCTCATCCTCATGTATACCTTCATTCCTGTATTCTTCAAGTCAAACCTAGTGGTGGAAAGAGGCTGAAACACACTTCTACAAAGATTTACATAATTATATTTGACTATGGATGCAGAGAACGGGGTTTTAAAGGTAACGACAGCTCATAAATGCTCCCTCATGAGATGAGAAGTGCGCCTTCAAAATCCCACGTCATGTACATGTGCAGGCCTGTGTATCAAACAAACACTGATCGATTGAGCAAGGAAGGATGTGCAAGAGAACTGGAGTTGAGCCAACAGCAGACATGGGACTAACACGTAGAAACTAAATTTAGACAAAAGTCTTTCCAGACCTCAAAATGTCCTTCCCATAACATTATGAACTGGTAAATTCCATTGATTTAAACAGAAGTTAGGATTATGTTTATTTGGCTTGTTTAGAAATGGAAGCAGGCTTCTTCCTGGTCAAAATAACAGAGAAAAAGTACAACAACTTTTTAAGCTGAAAGCTGAAAAGTCATCTGGCAGCAATTCATGACACCCTTGTGACTGTTCTGGTAATTTGAGCTACTGTCATCTAATTAA